TCCCATGAGTTTTCTGACATTTGCACTGACCTCCCTTGTAGTTTGAAAAATTACACTAACCTCCCCTGAGATTACTAATCCTTTACAAATTCAGTCCAAAGGATTAAAATATTGTTTTAGGGAATGAAATTAGAATTTTTTTTACCAAATTTGTCCTTTTGTACTACATGTCCAATGAATGACAAAGTACTATAAATCAATTAACAATTAATAAACTTTAAAGAGTATAATTTAAATCAGTAATGCTTGTTTGCCCTTAAATTATACTCCTTAAAGTTTATTAATTGTTAATTGATTTATAGTACTTTGTCATTCATTGGACATGTAGTACAAAAGGACAAATTTGGTAAAAAAAATTCTAATTTCACTCCCTAAAATAATATTTTAATCCTTTGGACTGAATTTGTAAAGGATTAGTAATCTCAGGGGAGGTTAGTGTAATTTTTCAAACTACAAGGGAGGTCAGTGCAAATGTCAGAAAACTCATGGGAGGTTTCTGCAATTATCCCTTTTTTTAACCCTTCGCCAATTTTTTTTTTTTTTTTTTCATTTCGGGTGGGTGATCGACTGGATAACCTGCTGAATTGCTTACGTCGTCGGAAATGGCAAATGGAGACAAGGGCTACGACAAAAGATGAAAATGAATTTTTAAGGTATGACAGGTGGAAATTATGACACAATCCTAAGACATGTCGTGTAATGCTAGAGAATGCCGGTACATCGCCACACGCGGCCACAGCATACAACAAATATTGCCACGTGAAGCGGGCCTGTTGGAGGGCGATGGGGGCTTTCCTTTGTCCTAACCTACGGCGGCTGTTCCCTTTGTTACTTTTTTTTTTTTCGCTCCCTCTCCCTCCCTTTGAAATTTTTTTAATAAAATTTTTTTTTAATGCGTGAATAAGGAACAACGAGGAGAAATATATATATATATATAGAAACACACACAGACACACTTACTTACATACATATTGAGTGAGTATATGGTAGAAATGATGAAAACGACAACAATTTAATGGTTCACGATGATGTTTGAAGGAAACAAACATAACATATATATAGTAGTAATTCTGTTGCTGTCAATTTAGAAAGAAAGGCATCCGTCTTTCTTATTGACTTTTAATGTATGCTTCTAGGCCATGCAGCACCATCGTTGACAATGAGTCTGCATAACTTTTCAGGTGCACAAACAATTTTACCCTTATGGTCCTGCAGCCGTTTTGTTTCTTTTTTCTTTTTCCTTTTTCCTTTTCTTTTTCAATAAGATTGGAATAAATCATGTGACAGCATAAAATCAACGCTAGAATTTAAAGTGTCAATTATAAGAGTTGCCCTCACCATGTGACTTATATATCATCCGATTGATTGTATGGATTCGATCCTTACTAACTCCACACCTCACATGTAATTAATTAGTAATTACACACCACAACAATTTCCGACTTGTCATTTTCTGAAATTATATATATGTTGACTACGACGGCTAGTTGATAGCCTCTCTCCTTATTTCTCAGATAGGTATATGATGAATCTGAATGAAAGACGTGGAGAGGGAGAGCCGGGTTAGAAGGTGAGACTTAAGACGAGAGGGATTGTAACTAATTAATTAAGTGATTTTTGATTCAAATCACCTCGCTTATTAAAATAAAAAAAAATAAAAAAAATTGATTAAAAAAATCTGAAAGACAGACTAATCACAGTTATCTATCGCGGTTATCCTTTTGACACCTTCATTAATTCCCATCCCCTTATTATTTTTATTTTTATTTTGATTTTTACCATCCCTAAAAAACATCATTCCAAACAAACAAAAAATAAAAAATAAAATCAAGATGTAAGGCCCGGGTGCCACTAAAACTGCAGTTTGCTCAAACTTCAAGAAAGTTAAAAGATGCGAACTTTTTTTTTGTTGGTAATTATTTTGCTGATAAGTTTGTCGTGTTCTTTTGCAAACCGAAGCAAATTTTACAGGGGAAACGACAAGGACACTTTCATCTGAAGCAAAAACAAGATACAACTTTCAATAATGTGTTCTAATTAAATCTAACTATCAAAGCATCCTTATCCAAGAATCGCGTACTTAATTTCACATGCATGTAGAAAATTAGCCTGGGGGATGATTCATTCATATGAAGGAGAGTTTGAGTTATGCCATCATCCGAACATTATTAATAATTATGACTTGGTTGGGTAATAACAGTCGCACGTCACGAGTGACGGTTCCATATCTTCATCAACTTTCCTCTCTTGATGTGATAAAATTAGTCTAGAGAAACAACATGTGGAGCGGCAGGATAAGAGTTTAGCTTGTGGACAAATCATGGGTGGAATATTTATTTTACTGCAGAAATAAAATATAAGGGTTTCAAACTTTGAGCTATCATTTGGTTTCTCCAGGATTTCAATGACATTAATTTTATTTATTCTTCGAGGCAAGGAGGCCACTGGCCAGAGTACTACCGGTCTCTATCCCATCCTTATCTAGGATGGAGACAATTTTCTTTTCCTCCAGTTTAGATGAGCAGTAATATAAGCACTGTTTTATTTACGATGCAAGTATAGAAAAGTGCTACTTAATTACGTGCTCACACCACCATTTTAATTAAGTATGATGATCAGTGGTTAAGCGGAGGAGAAGTTGGTTTTGGCTAATGGCGTAATTAACAGAGAAAAAAAGGAGAAGAAGAAGAAGAAGAAGAGGAGAGAGTACTTAGATTAGTTGAATACTATAAAATGACGGGGAAGAGTGTTATATTGGACAAGAGCCCAGACAATGTCCTATGTGTCACTTTGGCATTCAGCATAGATAGCCATAAAGCTCCAAAACTCCAGATATGTAAAATAATGCCAGGAATAAAACCAAAACACTTGCAGAAGAATCCATTAAATTGAGAGCTCTGTCAACCCAAGTGGATTCTAGCTCCCTATGCATCTGAATCATTCATCGTCTGGGCCATGCTTTTCCTTGGATTTTATTGATTCATCATCTTCTTTTCTCTTAATTTTATTATAGTACTTGTTTATTTCTAACTTCTTTTTTTTTTTTTTGGCCGGGGGGGGGGGGGGGGGGAGGGGGGAAGAAACTTGATGGAATTGAGGCCCACGAAGTTGAGTCAAGTTTGTCGTATGATCATTCGACGATTCAAGATATACATGACATCGTCCTCAAAGGGCTAATTTCTTTCATTAACAGTCGATTTCAGCTCATTAAAAATACTTACATTAACTCTAAGGTTAGGTCATCAACTATATGTATATGTAGGATTAACCATACCATCAATTCAAGAATTTTTTAGAAAGTCTATTTTATCTTTTGAAGCCTATAGTTGTTAGTCTTTAAAATGTCAAATGGGATTTAAAGTAATCAAACATCGAGATAATTTAAGCCACAATTCATTTAACTATATTAGTTGCCGAATGAGGATTTGATACACTCGTTAAGGATGAAATTTTAAAAATTAGAGGTTTTAAATTTAATTTTCTTTTTTTTTTCCGTCCCCACTTCTTAAATCCCATTTTTTTCCTGTTGAAAAAAAAAAAAAAACTAAGTTGAAGAATTGAAAATGTGTTAGTGCCAACACAAACTTTTTCAAAATCTGAAAGATCCCAAATAACCTAAAGAGAATTGCGTGCTTGCCCGCATACCCCATGTTGTGGAAACTCTATGGTATTATTATGGCTTAGAAACTAAAGAAAATGACTTTGTATTCTAGGTATGCAATTCCAGAATCAGGACGTCGCACTTATAAAAGGAAAAAATATGTGGTTATACCGTTATAGTAGTATTGCTGACGCGGCGCCGCAGTGGGAGTTTTACTCTATTTAATTGGATGGTTTAAGAAGAAAATAAAATAGGAAAACAGTTGGCGACTTTCACCACAAAAGTTCAAGAAAACTTTTTAATAGAATGACGAAATGACGAGACCATCATCTATCATGTTTTTCCTTTTTTTATAAGCGGAAAGTTTTCAAGTCCGAAACTTTTCACTCCCATTTACTTTTCGTGTATCACTCGACATATTCCTCCCTCGTTTGTCTTTTGATGCTAATTTAATGGTCAAATGTCAAGACCTAACTCAGATAATAAAAAGAATAATTAAGTGATTATGTGATATTTTATTCTACTTTTAAACATTCTCCTTTCTCCTTTTTTCTATGGTAAAATGTACAATCTACCTTAGATTCAAAAACAGTAGGGTAATAATAATAATAAACATAGGTTCCTTCTCGTTTGTACTAGGACCTATGGTACAATATGCTCCATGTGCCGTTTGTATGTACACCCTCAAACATTATAGTAATTTATTACTAGCAAGATGGGAATATTATTGTTAACAATAAAGACTTTTATCTTTTTTTTAGTACAAGTAAAAGATTTTGAATTCGAAATCTCTCGCTTACACTGCTCTTTTATCGTGCCGTCAAATCCTTCACCATTAACACTTGTATATGCTTGCAGGGTTTGTTTTAAAGATTTATGTCGCCTTATTATTAGCTTGTGGCTGTGGGTAAAACCGTAAAAGTGGAAAGCCAGATGCAAGGAAAGGCAACGCAAGTACGATTTTCCATTTTGTTTCCTTTTTTGGTGGGGGCAACATTTGTACCCCTTTACTACTTCCGGGGGCATCTTTTAAGTTGCGATACAAAAGACAGCGTGGGGGCATGGGATGCTGTTAATTGACAGACTCATGGGACACCATCGGTCAAAGAAAATTACAAAATTTGATGATAGAACTTTTTTATTTTTCATTACTACTTCCCTTTCACTATCTCTCCTCTACTTTTTTTCATTTAACTCTAACTTTTTGACATATACCGATCAAGAGGGGCGGAAAAAAAAAAAAAAAACTGGCGTTTCCCCTAGATTTTTTCAGTTGTACACTAGCTAGTAGTGGTATGTTGTCCAAAATTTTGACATTGTAAAACAATCACCCCTGCCTGCCTGCCTTGGAAGTTCAATCCAATTTGACCTTTCACCTGGCTGCCAAGATCTTCTCTTGTTTTTTTTTTTTTGGTTCTTTTACCTCCTGATCAGTTGTTTCTCTATCCTTTCAACATCACCCTCATCCGGCCCACGTATGGGACAATGATTAAGCTCACAGGAAAAGAACTACTACGTGGGACGACGCACGTTCGCACTACAAGTCTACAAGCCGTTCTCTTACAAACTGAAACTCCAAATTTTTTTTTGTTGGGTTCTTTTTTCCCCCTTTTTGTTCAGATGTTTTTCTGTTGAAGCCAATTTGAGAACATCTGCAGGGTGTGCATGTCAGCTCTGTAGTGCTTCTGCGTAAACTCGAGGAGCTTCGGCCATGTGAAGTCGGGATATATCCGAGGGTTGTTGGAATCCACCAATTCGGTTGGTGGGCTCACCACCTTATCCTCCTTTGGACACAGAAAGAAGGCTAGTGACTTCCTAGGAGTTTTGTTGTTTACCACTGCCCGGTGTAAGCAACTTTTGTATCTTCCATTCGAGAGTGCCTGAACAAGAACAAGACGACCCGGCCAACTAATTCAGTTAATTTCTGCGGTCGGTCACTCTTACTCGCATGTAGATACTACTATAATTCAAGAACTAGTAACATAATGTAGCAAGAATTAATGAATTGATTAACTACCATGAAAGTGTCGCCTATGTTGACAACAAAAGCGTTCATGTCGGGACCAATGGAGCGCCATTCCCCATCTACAAATACTTGAAGCCCGCCCACAGTGTCTTGGTGGAGGATTGTTAGGGATGTCGGATCGCAGTGAGGTCCGGTTCCTAGTGTGAGCTCTGGTTTCTGGCACGGCGGGTAGTAATTCAATCTCATTATTGACTCATTTTCTTCGAAGAATTCTTTAAAACTCTCTCTGCTTACTCCCAGGCTCATCCCCAGTAGTTCCATGATCCCCAGCGAAAGGGTGCTCATCGCATTGCAATATTCTTGGTAAACCCCCCTGTATATAGATTTTTTTTTTAAATTAAAAAAAAAAAGAAAAAAGAGTTAAATTACCAAACAAATTTAAGAGTTAATGCTGCTCAGGCACTAGCAAACATATTGATCAACATTCATTTCTTGATTCATACCCAAGGTGCAAGAATTGATGGCCCAATGTCTTCTCAAAATACTCTTCCACGATGTGGGATGATTCTTTCGCCGCAGAGAATTGAAAAGAAAGGGTCTCCTTCCAGGGAAGCTTGGAGGAGAAGCGGCCAGTGAAACTACTAGCATAGCCACAATGCTCGCCCACCTTCCTCTGAGCCTTTTGCTTCTCGCAAAGTGGCTGTTCAAAGAAGGAGTCCATGCATCGATGGGCATCCGATATTAGACTAGCATCCACCCCGTGATTCACTACCAGAAAGAAACCGTGCTTCCGGCACGCTTCGCCGACGATCCTTGAGGCTTCCTTGGCGGCAGAGGGGCTTCCCGAGAGAAAGCCGCCCAAGTCAACGAGCGGGACGGCAAGTTCCCGGGAATTGGGACTTGGCTTCTCGTGGTCAGGCCATATAAATTGAGTGGGAATGCTAGTCTGGTGCTGCAGGACGGAAGCGTCGAATACCAGCGGGTTCTGCTGCTGGTCCAGGCGCTCGGGATTGGACGATGACATGATTTCGGACGCGGATGCTTTGGTTGTGATCATACAATCAATAGCCATTGCATGAGAAGTGAGGAGCCTAAACAGTCGAGTCTGGAGAGCGAGGGAGCGGGCCTTCAGGGAGGTGGTGAGAGGGAATTAAGACTGGTCAGTTACTAGATGTAGATGGGAAAAATAAACAAATAGTAGGCCAGTTATTAATCCTCCCCCCAAAAAAAGAAAAAGAAAAAAAAAAAAAGGAGAGAGTGAAGTTGGAGAGTTGTGATAAGGTAAAAGCCCAGGCCGTTCTCAATGGACAAATATGTGAAGAAAACTTGGAATCTTATATAGGGGTCGATCTCCCTCCCTCCCTCTCTCTCTCTCTCTCGGTTTGGTAACTAATTGGTGCCTCTCTTCCAGCACACAAACTGGGAGTATTTAAAACCAACGTTTGCTACAAACAGAGGACCTCTTATGAAAGTTTTATATTTTGTCAAGAGGGCTTATGAATCCATAGATTTAGACAATACTCCATCATCAATTGGCTTCAGTGGTGTTGACAGGGAGGGAAGCGTTTCCCAATGACATTTTGGCTTTTACTTTGGGTTAGGGTGACTTAGCCTATCTCCTCCCACTCTCCCACCCCAGTTAAAGAAATACTCCACTTATTGTTAGTGCAAACTATCTACATTAGATAGAGTATGTCTAACTAACGTCTTTTCCCCTTTAGAGATCAACAGGCAGTAATGGGACTCAAAAGTGTTAGCCATCTTGTAGTACTTAAAAATGTTAATAGAACCAAGAAAACTACTTTCAGCAAGAGCGGAGACGGAAAACTATATGCCCCTGGCAGATTTAAAATGTGGATACGGTCAATTTTCAAAACGAAACTATGCGAGGAAACGATCGCCTTCAACTACACACCTTGCAGTTTATTCATAAAATTGACAATTTCAACAAAAGTAATCGAATAATTGCCTGCGTATGTAAATGGAGTCATCATACCACTGGACAGTAGTAGTAGCACACAAGTGGTGGGGAGGAATGAATGCACAATTGTACGTACTTGGTAATACATTTGAGTATTTGGAATTTGGGAAAGAGGTGGAGTCTAATAATACGGCACCAGCGGTTGCGGTGGAGGGATCATAGGCACCAAAAATACATGTAAAAACAACAGCGAGACTGGCTCAAAATAGGATGAGACAGAAAGCGGTGTTGGGAATCAATGAAAGAGGATCTTCATGACAAAATTAAGGCAAAGGCCCCCCTGCAGGGGAAAGGAAGGGGAAGGGGGGGGGGGTCCTGCTCGACCCAGAAGGCACACACAGAGAGAGTGGCGCAGACTAGCATGTAGTGGGAATAGCTAGGCGATGAGCAAAAGAGTTTGAGCTTTGGTTGTCCATATATGTGTCAGCATATTTATGTGTGTGAGGAAGGAATCCACTACCGCTGCCAGAGGACCAGAGGAGTTAAAAGAGTACAAACGAAAGATGAAAAGCCAAGCAGGGCCGACTAACTTTGCGCCAGTTTGTTTTTGTTTTTGTTTTTTTTTTTAAAGTTGTAGGGGGGGAGTGGCTCAGCACCCCTTTCTCTGCTGCCATATCCATATACACGAGTAAGTAGCAGCGATTCACATGTACAGCAACAACAACAAAAAGGTAGGATTGTAAACGGGTCGAATTTTGATATAAATGAATCGAATTCAATTTTGATTTGATTTCATGTTGAACTCAAGTTCGACAAGTTTTCATTCTAAAACTCGAGTTCGAGTTTAAATTCTGACTTGAATTTTGTCGAACTCGAACTCGAGCCGGTTGGAGCTCAAACAAAATAAAAAATTTTTTTATATTTTTCGAAAAGGATAAAATTGACATTTCATCCTAACTAAATAATAAAAATATAAGAGACATACAAGTGATTTTGTTATTAAAATATAAAACATTAGCTTGACGAACTAACAAGTCGCATATCCATGTACTCGACTCTCTCACCAAGTCAGCTCGATCGAGCATTCGACCTCCATGTTCACTAAATTCAAGTCTAGGTTTGACCAAGTCCAACATGGGATTTGTTGGAATTATCAAAAAAAACATGGGATTTGTTGGAAGCATGGATGTGACAACTGGTGCATGTAATTTCAAAAAATACGCTCTAATTATGTGTTCATAAACCATCCACATCTCCATATTAATTCTTAATCACACCTTGAGGGGGTTTTTTTTTATTAAAAAAAAAAAACCCTTTTCTTGAGATGGTGGGGCTGTAAGCTTTGAGGTTGCTCTGCTAGGTGTCAAAATTTGTTGTTAGCCTGTGCCCTGGGGGCACCTATTTATAGCAAAGCATGACGCGACCCAACTCTAGCCGGAGAAATTACCAAAAAATTACACTACCTTCTAACCAAGTATATATTACTCTCTTCGTCCCACTTTGATAGTTTTATTTTCATTTTTCGTCTGTCCCAAATTATAGTTCATTTTCTCATTAAGAAATGTAGTAATCTTTCAAATTGTCTAAAATACCTTTATTAAATATCTTGTTATTAATACATTGTTATTAAATACTAACCCACTACATTGAATACATTGAGCTTTTCCAATACTAACCCATTAGCTGTAACTGATATTAATTGGCACTCTTCTTCGTGATTAGCATAAGGGTATTTTAGGAAATTAGTAATCTAAATTTATGTTTCCAACCAAATTAATTACACTTTTTTAATTTGTGTGAAAAAAAAAATCAAGACTAACAAGACGGGACAGAGGGAGTATGTTGAAACTATTTTACAGATGCCTTTTTTTTTTTTTTTTTCTGCCTTCAACTTTATATTGCTGAACCTGCTAATCGCGATGGGTCTATACTTATTCAAACCTATACTAAACATAATGATTACTTGAAAAGAAATAGCCGCAGGTTTCGACATAAGAGAGCATATCCTTGTAATTACAATATATTCAAGGGATTCATGAATGTAATTTTATCTAACAACAATGCTTGGGACAATTTTGCAGAATACACAATTAATGATTTAATCAACAATATCACGTATTAAATTGTGCCGCTTGTCTATTTCTTAGAAGTCTCTGATCATTCACCAATACGTCTGTAAAAATGAAAAGTTGCCCCAAAATGACTATTCAATTCCAAATATTATAGTGTTTTCTTGAAAGCTAAGCGCAAATATATATATATATATATATAAAATTTGAAATTCAAATTAAAATTAAAGTTATTTGTTCTGCACCCCGACCCGCTTGCATCAGCCACCAGGGGTTTGACCTTCACGAAAATTTTTTTCCTTTTGGCCCTGTCAAGAAAAGATCCAAAACCGAGCTCGAATATATAATATCTCAGTGGAGTTAGCAAATTGCGCGACTATGACTAGAACAACAAATTGCAATTAACCCCAATATTATATATATATATATTTAAGTTGCTCTGATGATGTGCGAGCAAAATCTGCTCTTGGAAAACCTAATGTATGACTACCAGGGTCGGCACATTGGAAAATCTCACTCACTATCAAAATTTAGAGTGTCCCAAGTGTCTAACAGGTAGGGGTGAAAGGATAATAATAAAAGGTAAAATATAGAAAAATCCCTTGAAATTAAGAGAATATACAAAAAATTTCCTATAGTTTCAAAACATACACTCCGATACCTTGTAGTTTGAACTAATTTAAAAAGTGGCAGAAATTGGTTGTATTAACGGGTTTGAAATACACACGCTTCTTTTGAGAGTATTCGTACTAAAAACAAACAAATTTGAAACTAATTCAAATCATATAATTCAGTGTCTCGTGGTTAGAACTAATTTGAAAAACTGATAAAATAATTTAAATTAATGAGTTTGAAAGTGCTTGACATGAAAAATAATTTTTTAAATCAAATTTCTATCTGATATACCTATTAAATCTCTTAGAGCTCATAAAATTTTTAAAAACAATTCAAAACTCCCAAATACAACTTTCCTTATTTCCATATATAAAATAAAAAAATAAAAAATTTTAAATAAAACCCACCTTATTTCTATACACAAAATAAATAAATAAATAATTTTCAAATAAAACTTACCTTATTCTTATGCACAAAATAAATAAATAAAAGTAACATGTAACCATATGGAGCTTTTTCCGTAGGTTGGCTTAATCACAGAGAATTTTTCTATATGGTTGCTTAATAGGACCGTTGTTAGAAAGTCTGTTATTATTTTTATATATTAGGGTAATTGTGTCATTTCATCAACCTTCGTTAGTTTTGACGATTTCTGTTACTGTTTCAAATTAGTTTAAACTATGACGAGTCAAAATGTATGATTTGAAACTATAAGAGATTTTTTTATAGGTTAATTTAATCACAGAGGGATTTTTTATATTTTACCCTAAAAAAAGGGTTAAACATGCATAAAATCTATCCAAGTGAGTACCTACCAAAAAATCTTTTTAAAAAAAGGGTCTATCCAAGCGAGTGCAATGGGTCCTCCATCGTGATGTACGTGTTCCAACCATGGTTTGTTCTACATCCGTCACGGTATATCAGTTGAATATCAAGTTATACGCATATTGTAATACATAAAAGTTTTTTAAAAATATGAAAAAATTCCTAAAAATAGAAAATATCATAAAAGCTCAATCTAAAAAAAAATCCGAATTAACTATGAATTGATTCGAATATTTTAGCCGATTTCATACATCATAGATTCAAATCAATCAATATTGAGCGAGTCGCTATATCTATAGAATTATTTAGGATTCGAAAATCAGTATTATACCGATTCCCTCCGTTCTGATTATGTCTTGGGTGAGTCGTATCGGACTCGACCAAGATGACTACCCATGTACTCCCAACCTCTTGACTCAACACCATTAGAAGATAAAACAACATGATGTTTAGTTTCGTGAATACTTTTACAAATTTTTTAGAACGAGAATTCCCCTTTTGTGTCATTTTAATTCTTTAGGCACACCTAATATTTGGAAAACCAGCTTTAAAAAGAAAAAAAAATGATCGTGTGCTTGAGATACATGAAGTAGTAGTTGTTAATGGTGTACTCCAAAGAACACACGGATGGGATGGTAGATGTGGTGGAAACAAACGATGAATCCACAAAGGCACATATCACGGAGTCAACCCCTACGTGAGAATGTGATCTGCACATACACTTGTGTTCCCGGAATTTTCAGAAAGTCAAACGACTCCCATTGTCTCCCAAGCCACATAATCGGATCCGGAACGTTTTCATAATAAATAAATAAATAAATTGGTCCCATTTTCAGTAAAGGCGAGAACTGAAAACAGCGCCTCCAACACCAGTTATACACGCACAAATTTTTTCTTCCCATCTATTTGAACAGTAGAAAATCTTAAAAAGTGTCATAATCCAAGGTTTCAAAATCGGGATCCTACCTATGATCATTTTTTGGCTTATAAGATTGAATCATAGAATCGGTAAATTCTATAAAAAATGTAATAAATTATCATATTTATAATTTTTAAGTTTGCAATTCATAAATATAGTAACAAATAATGTAATTCATGTGCAATCAATATAATTATATTGTTAATTAAGGTTAATTCATTTCTAAAGGCTCTAAATCATATTAGTTTATTATAATAAAGACACAAAATACTAGCTCCGTGTGATAACTTATAACAAAGATCATTTATTCACTTTAGTGAATTATATGAGTCAAATTTAAAGATTCATCAAATTTTCTAGGTTTGGAATTGAGCTTAATTATTTACATGGATTTAAAGCACTCTGAATATAATTTACAACGCAACAAACGACACTCAATTTCGAATTTTTTACACAAAGATATAGTCAACATACTAAAATTGTTATTTAATTTATTAAAAATAATAGTATCGTATCAGGATTGTAGGTTGGATCGTTAGTGTTGATCTGAATCGTATGATCGTAAGATCGTACGATCTGGATCGCGATCCTAACAACTATGTCATAATCTGGGTCTGAAAGTTTTCTAACTTTGACCAAGTCGGGTAGATGTTGTTTTTAAAACCAAAAACAAAAATTTTTTTTTTGAAAAAAAAAGAAAGAAAGAAAATTTTAGAGGCTAAAGCCATTTAGAAAATTGCGACCAACATATATATTATACATATCGCTATCGTTAAAGGAAAAAGGCAGACTAGCGCCAGCAATTAGGCCAAATGAGCATCCAGATCTCTGTTACTTAAGGGTGAGAGAGATTTAAAAATCTCTACAACCACGA